AAACCAAAGCCAGCTCTGCCTTTGTGTCATTTCCCGCCTCCCACCCACACATTTTTGGCAGTTTGTTGTTTTAAGATTATCTTTTATTATTGTTTTTCTCTCATATGGTGGTTGTATATATTAGTGTCTTGTTAGCTTTGCCATTTAGTCTTCATACTAAGGTTGTAAGTGGTTTATTCACCACCCTTACAATATTGAGTGTTCTGAGATTGTCTGTGAGTTTACTTTGCTAATTAGTTGTGTACTTTCAAATGTTTTCTTGCTACTCTTTACTTTCATCTTCTTTCAGATTGAAGAACTCCCTTTAGCATTTCTTGTAAGGCAGGTTTGGTGTTGATGAATTTCCTTAGCTTTTGTTTTTCTGGGATAAACTTTATTTCTCCTTTGTATTTGTAGATTGGTTTTGCCAAATACGGAATTCTTGGGTGACAGTCTTTTTCCTTCAGTGTCTTGACTATATCATCCCATTCTCTTTTGGCTGATAGGGTTTCTACTGAGAAATTCATAGAGATATACTGGCGCTCCACTGAATGTCATGTATTTCTTTTCTCTTGGTGCTTTCAATATTTTCTTTCTGTCTTTGGTTTTTGGTAATTTGATTATGATGTGCCTTGGGATGTACCTCCTAGGATTCAATTTGACTGGTGGCCTCTTTGCTTCCTGTGCCTGAATGCTGTCATCTTTCTCCATACTTGGGATATTTTCAGCTGTTATTTTCTAGAATATGTTTTCTACATCTCTTTCTTTTTCTTCTTCAGGTATGCCAATTGTGTGCAGGTTATGTCACTTGAGGGAGTCCCATATTTGCTGTATTCCTGTTTCATGTTTTCTTATTCTTTTTTCTTTTTGCTCCTCTGATTGGATAATTTCATGTATTTTATCTTCAAACTCACTGATTCTTTCCTCTGTTTGATTAAGTCTACAGATTAAGTCTATTGAAGTTTTTCAATTCAGATAATATATTCTTTATTTTTAGAATTTCTATTTTTTAAAAATTGATTCTATTCCTTTGTCAGGTTTCTCATTCTGCTCCTAAATTATTTTCCAGATATCATTTAATCTTCTATCTGTATTTTCTTGTGACTCCCTGGGTTATTGTGAATTCTCTGTCACAAATTTTATAGACCTGCTGTTCCTCTGCATCCATTACTGGTACTTTGTTTCATTTGATGGAGATGTATCTCTCTGTTCTTTCTCAGTCTTTGTGTCTTTACTTTGATGTCTAAGCATTTGAAGAGACTGCTATATTTGCTGCTGATTCTCTGGGGAAGGTGTTTTGTGAAGATTGTTAAGGAATTCCAAGTTTGGACTCTGGAAATTCTGGCCCAGAATGGGATCTTTCCTGTGGATTAAGCCCCCTGCAGTTTGATTGCCCTGACTGATTTCCACTGAGACCAGCTGCCCATGCTGCACCCAATGTTCCCCTGGTGAGCAGCCTTTCCCTTGCACTCCAATCATTTCCTGTGGGGCAGGATGTATATGCATCCCTCACAATTACTCATTGGCCTCTGGGTGGTTCTTTTCTCTCTGGTCAGTTATGGACACTTGCTCCTATGCAGGAGGACTGGGGGGAATCCTGCCAGTGGACTTTATGTCTTGTGGGCAGGTATGGTGTGCTCTGAAGCCCTCCTCTCCCCTGCAGACTCCAAGCAGGTTTATGTGAAGGGTGCCATGGCTTTTTCCAGCTTTGGCCCATGTGTAACAGCTACTCCCCACCTCCATACCAAGCTGTTTCAGAACAATAGGCACCATCCCTACACGCTCTCGCTGTTGCTTCTCATGCATTCATGAACTCTGTGGGTCTCTCTTCTTCCTCCCTCAGCTCTGGTGGTTTCAGGTTGGCAATCTTTGCTTTCTAATAGTTGTAAATTGGTTACTTGTGGGAGGGTGAGATGCTGGGAACACTCTATTCTGCTGTCTTGATAACGTCACTCTTCTTTTTCAGTTTATTTATGTGGGAAATTAGATAATTTATTTTAAACAATTATTCTTTTCTAATATAGGCATTTAAAACTTTACATTGTACCCCTAGCACTACTTTTTAACTGCATCTTGCAAATTTTAAAATGCTGCATTTTTATGACTTTTTTTTAATTATAAAATGTTTTGCAGTTTTCCTTGTGATTTCTTCTTTGGCCAAATGGGTTATTCTGAAGTGTGTTATTTAATTTCCTAATATTTAGAAATTTTGTAGATGTTTTATTGTTACTAGTTTCTAGTTTGATTCCATTGTGGTCAGAGAACATACTCTGTAAGATTTCTCTCTTTTGAAAGTTATTGAGACATTTTTACTGGTCAGAAAATGTTTATCTCAGTTAAAATTTTATGTACACTTGCAAAGAATGTGAATTCAGTTGTTGGATATATCAGTTTGTAAATGTTAAGTCAAAATTTGTTAGTATATCTAATAATACAGAAGATCTATCTGTATCTTCTGTATCTAATAGAAAATAATGATTTTTTTTGTCTACTCATTCTTTTAATTACTCTGAGGGGGTTAGTAAAATCCCTAGCTATGATTATGGTTTGTCTATTTCTCCTTTTAGCTATGTCAGCTTTTGCTATAAGAATACTGTAGTCATTATTAGAAGTATACACATTTAAAAATATATGTTCTTGTATTGTCCCTTTTATCATTAGGAACAATGCCTCTTTATCTCTTGTAATGTTTCTTATTTTAAAGTCAAATTAGTCTAATATTAACATGAGTACATAATTTTCTTACCCTTCTTTCAACCTGCTGTATCTAACAATAAAGTGCATCACTTGTAGACAGCATATAGTTGGATCTTTTTTTTAAATTCAAAATGACAATCTCTGCTTTTCAGTTGAAGTATTTAGACCATTTACATTTAATATAAATATTGATATAATTTGGTTTAAGTTTACCATTTTGCTATTTGTTTTCCATTTATCCTTTCTCTTTTGGTCTGTCTTCTCCTGTCATGCCTTCTTTTGAATTAATGGAATATTTTTACATTCCATTATTTCCTCTATTAGTTTCTAAGCTATATCTTTTGTTGTTGTTGTTGTTGTTCCTTTAGCACTAGCAATCCACACATGGGTACCATGTTGCAATTAACATATGTTCTTTTACACTCCCCATTCCTAACTTTACACCTGACACTTCTTAGTTCCCACTTTCCCACAAAAGAATAATTCCACTTACACATCCTCAATTTTTTGTGTTTTTATCATATCTTTTATTTTACATGTGTTATAAATCACTACTTTAATGTTATTTTTTCTTTAGTCAGAAATTGTAAAAAGAAAAAATTTAATTGTTTATATTTATGTACCTATTAACTATTTCTGTTGTTATTTTTCCTTATCTATAGATCTGGTTTTCTGTCTAGTAGCATTTACCTTCAGCATGAAGAATATTGTTTAGCATTTATTGTAGTGCAGGGTTTTCAGACTTACAATGCCTGTTTTCAGTGGCTGAAAACATTTGCCTCATATATTTTGTCAAGTTTTGTGGTTATTTATGGTGGGTGTGCAAATTTGCTCTCAGTAAGTTTATCATAGTGTGAAGGAGAAGACTAGAGTGTTTTTATGCAAATCCCAGTTATATAATTTCACTTCTAAATATTTTATTATGCATCATTGAATGATAGAGATATTTTAAAGACATATCATGTGATAATCATACATAACAAAATTAAAAGTATCATTTAATGTTCTGTTTATATTCAAATTTCCCAAATTGCCTCAAATAGGTCACTTTATAATTAGTTTGTTCAAATTAGAACAATTGTATTTGGTTATTTTATATCTTAAATCCATTTTTAATAATTTTCCCTTGCCTTTTCCCCCTCTCTCCCCACACACTTCTTATGCCATTGATTTGTTAAGAAAATCATGGAATTTGTTCTATAAAACTCCCGCATTCCAGATTTAGCTAATTATTCTCTGCTGGTGTCAATTAACTTGTTTCTCTCCTTTTTGCGTTTTCCATAAACTGGTTTGATCTAGAGGCTTGAAGAGCTTCAGGTTTTCTCTTTTCTTATGTGAGAAGACTTCTTGGGTGGTGCTAGTACCTTTCCTGAATCATATAATGAGTTACATAATGCATAGCTGTTCCACTTTTTGTGATGCTAAGATTGACCAATGTTCTAAGGTGGTATTCCTTTTATTATAAGGTTTTCTGTTACATTCCACTTTGTTTTAACATCAACTAATGATTGTTGGTTGTTTCCTAGATCCATTATTTTATTAGTGATGACAAAATAGAAATTTTCTGATTCTTCCATTCTGCATTTGTTAGCTGGAATTCTTCTATACAGAAGAATTTTTCCTCAGGTTTTCTTTTCTTTTCTTTCTTTTTTTTGTTTGGTTACTTTGAAAGAGTTCATAGAGGAAAAGCATGGTAAGTTGATAAATGTTTAATTTTTCCCTTAAAAAAACCCCCAAACAATCCATTTTCTGAGCAATGAGATGATATCCTAGCAACCTCATTGTAAATAAAAAAATTAGTATAATTATCAATTTATAGAGTTTTACATATTTATAGGGTTCAATTCAAATATTTGCAGCCATTATTCTTTTTGAGCTCAAATTAGGCCAGTGGGAGTCCTTGGTACTTTGAGGATTTTGTCTTTGATCACGATAAGGAAACTTCCATCCACTTTGCTCAAATTTTCTATTAATAGATTTTAGCTCTGACATTTTTCCCTTCCTTATCCTCCAAATTGTGGTATTGATAGTTAACATATCCTACCTAATTTCTTTATGAAAGAGTTCATATAACCAGTTTTGTTGTTGTCGTTGTTAAATTCTTTTTTCATTATGGTAGGGTAACACTCACAAACTGTTTTGCCAGGACATCATACAAGGTAAATACAATTCTGTAACACATTTTATTACTTTACCATTTCTAATTTTTAAAAATAAAAATTGTCACTAGACTGTAAACAAATACCAAATACTGAAGTAACCTTAAATTTGATATTAGATATTTAACAAGATACAACAGTAAGAAGCAGGTGATGTTTTCTGACCTCCACTACAGTTTCGCAGGTGGCAGAGTATTTCATGGGTTCATTAGTTAAGCAGTTTAACTCTCCTATTATTTCCCCGCTGAGCACATAATCTGTATAAATTATCTGATATTCTTTCGCCTCTGACTCTGAGAGTATTTGGTCACTCTCCAAACCTGGCTTTGATCTTTTAAACTGTTCAGGAACAAAGAAAGAGAAAAATACATATGCCAATTAACTTGTGTTACTCAAACTGTCTAATTTTTTAATCACTTTTCTCACTTTGATTTTAACACTCCTAATATATACATGTTGTTTTGAGAAGACTTACTACTCATTCCTTTATAAGTAAATATATTAAATTAGCAATGGCAGACACAAAGCTTTCTTAAATACTCTGATTTCTCCTACTTAGTCAACCTATACCCACCTTAGAATGGCTAAATTTCTAACTCAGGCAAAAAAATGATGCATAACAATTTATATTATAATTTTCTGTCTTAAAAGATTATTCTTTTGGTGGTTTCTTGTTATCTATGAAAAAGTATGGCTTAAAACCTGATGGGGGCTGTTATCCATGGTGCCTGAACATGAAAATGGTCATTTGGATGGTAGCTGCTATCCTAAAAAAGGAACTATGCAGTTCTTAACATGGAAAGCTATAATTCTCAATCTTACAAAGTTTTTTTTAAACTAATGTTCATAAGTACATTTATAAATAACCATGCCTTACCTTTACCAGGCCTGAAATAATTACATAGATTCCTCTAGCCTCATCACCTTCTTCATATATACTATTTCCACAATCAAATGTTACAACTCTGGCTCCTCTCTAAAAAACATCATCATATACATAAGCTATAAATAATGTTTTTGCAGTGATTGGGAATATTGATGTTTACATTTTAACAAAAGTTTCTACATTTCTAAAGTAAATATCAATCATTAAGATCTGAGAAAATGTGTTAGTAATAAATTTGTAGGAGAAAAGAATTAGGAATAGTAAAGAGATGAAGGTGGATATTCATGGATATATGTAATTTCAGATGGAGTATTTACACATGGATTAGGAAAGAAAGAATCTAGGAATAAGAATATAATGGGGTGATAATAATATTTTATCCAGATGAAAAGAATTGGGACAGATGTAGGCCAATGGCACATATATGTCTCATATATACTCTAAATAGCTGATAAAGTAAATAAAAAATTCAGTCATTCAAAATATTTTAAGCAGGTAAAAATATAATTGGTCTTTTGGCACCAAATAGATATAGAAAAAGATTTTATTAGAACAAGTTAGATCTATTTATTTGTTCATTCCACTAACATTTATCGAACACCCATTATGAATTATGCAAAGTGCTATGGACTGAGTATTCAAAAGATGGATAAACTAAAAAACATATCAGGAGAGAGAGATGTAAAGGTATTGTAATGTGATATACTTAATGCTGTAGTAAAGGTATATACTGGATACAATGGTGGCACCTTTGGTCCTCCAGACTCAGGAAGGACCTTCTGCTTCTCATAATGGTCTTCTACTGGTGGGATGTTTGACACCAAAGCCTACTTCTCTGAGTACTTCTGAAAGGAATGTTTCCAGACCTTCAATAAGCAGGGAAAGTTTTGGGGTAAAAAAGTGAAAAGTGGGCATTTCAAGAAAAGTAAACCGCACTAACAGATAAATGGAATTGGAAAACAGTGTAAAGTGTGTGAAGCACCATGAGTGGTTCAGTATAAATAGAGTACAGGGGTGTATGACAAACAGGCACAGAAGAGGAAGGTGGCGAGGCAGCAGGAGGCAGATTGTGGAGGAGTTTGCTTATCATCCAAAGGGACTTTGATTTTATCCTATAGGCAATAAGAAACATTTAGAGAATTTTAAACTGGACAGTATGGTGATTAAATCCTTTTTTTAAAAAAAAGATTACTTGTTGGTAAATTAAAGATGATATTACTAGGAAATAAAGATTGTACCTCAATGAAGCTTATAAGGTCTACGTCTTTATCTAGCCATGGAATATGATAGAGGGTTTCTTCAACAGTAAGTGGACTGATAATAGTTGGAAAATCAAGCACCTCTCTTTTTTTGGCCATTATTAACTAAAACCACAAAATTAAAGAAAAGAGATGAACCAAACTGGTGTTCACAGAATGTTTACAACTATGTCTTTGTACTATTTCCCATTCTTGATCTTCTGAGATATTTGTTTTTCTGTGGAAACCTCTGACCTCCCATCTTACAGCATTTTTCTGTCTCTACATGATCATTATTCTGAAGTCATAGAGTAAGCCTTTTAAAGTAAACATTTTTACTGAAGTATAGCCAATGTGCAAAACGTGCACAAATCATAAATGTTTACTCAAAGAATATTTACAAAGTAAAAACATCTATGTAACCAGCACAGATTAAAAAATAAAACATTTGCTGTACCTTAGACTCTGCCCTTATATCATAAATGTTTACTCAAAGAATATTTACAAAGTAAAAACATCTATGTAACCAGCACAGATGAAAAAATAAAACATTTGCTGTACCTTAGACTCCGCCCTTACGTTCTTTTCTGATCAATACTCCTTATCCAAATATAACCACTATTCTTCAATCACCATAGTTTAGCATTTTCTGGTTTTTAGCTTTATTTGCATGAAATCAGAGTATGTATTTGTTTGTGTCTAGTTTTATTTGCTGAACATTATGTTTCTGAGATTCATCTATGGTGTTGCAGGAAATTTTTGCAACACCAAAACTGCAAAAACAAATTTTTTATTCGTTTTATTTTTATTATTGTATAGCATTCTATTGTATGAATATAGTGCAGTTTGAGTTTAAGGCTTTTATGAGTAATGCTGCTACAGATATTTGTTTGGTGTACATATGTACACGTTTCTATTGGGTTTATGGTTATCTAATCTAATTGCTGGGTCATAAGATATGCATATATTCACCATTAGTAAATACTGCCAAACAATTTTCCAAAGTGGTTGCGTTAGTTTACAATCCTACTCTAATGTTCCAGTTCCACATTACTGCCTATACTTGGTATTGTCAGTTTAAAAAAAATTAGGTATTCTGCTGGTTATGTATTGATATTTCATTTTGGTTTTAATTTACATTAAGCTTATGACAATGGTTCTCGGAATCTTATGTTTATTGACCATTTGAATATCTTCTGTTGTGAATTGTTTGTTCAAATCTTTTGCTCATTAAAATAAAAAAGACTTTCTGTCTTGTTCTTATCAATTTATTAGATTTTTAATGGATTTTTAATAGATTCTGGATATTAATTCTTTGTTAAATATATTTATCTTGGAAATATCCTATACCTTTTTGTGGATTTTTTCATTCTCTTAATTTTTAAATAAAGAGAAGGTTCTCAATTTTAATATTATTTAAATTCAATTTTGTGTCCTGTTTAAGAAATCTTTACCTATGCCAAAAGCATGAAAATTCTCTTGTGCTGTCCTCTAGAAGCTTACTGTTTTACCTTTTACAGTTGTCTACAATCTATCTGAAACTGATTTTTTTGTGTGTGGTATAATACTGCTGCAATGAACATGGGTGCACAAACATCTCTCCAAGACTTTACTTTCAATTCTTTTCAGTGTACACCCAGGAGAGGCTTTTTTTGGAAAACTACCATCCTGTTTTCCACAGAGGCTGTACACTCCTGATAGTGCATAAGTGTTCCAGTTTCTCCACATCCTCATGAACACTTGTTAATTCCTTCCTTCTTTCTTTCCTCCCTCTCTCCCTCCTTCCCTTCCCTTCCTCATCCCTCCCGGCCTCCCTCTTTCCTTTTCTTTCTCTCTTTCTTCCTTCCTTCCTTCTTTCTTTCCTTCCTTCTTTGCAGTAGTCATCCTAATGGGTGTGAGGTGGTATCTCAATTGTTGTCTTGATTCGCATTTCCTTGATGATAAGTGATGTTAAATATCTATTCATGTGCTTATTAGCTATTTGAATATCTTCTTTGGAGAAATTTCTACTCAAGTCCTTCCCCATTTTTGAATTAAATTGTTTAGTTTTAGGAGTTCTCTTTATATTATGGATATTTATGGGATATGTTATGCATATATCCTATATCAAATATTTTCTCTCATTCTATGGGTCACATTTTTATTGTTAATAATGTCTCTTGATGCACAAAATTTTTAATTTTCATGAAGTACAATTTGACTATTTTTTCTTTTGCTTCCTGCACCTTAAGTACCATGTCTAAAAAATTATTGCCAAATTTACTGTTGTGAGTTTTAGCTCTGCCTTGGATTGAATGCCCCCCCCCCAACAAAAAACTTAATCCCCACTGTAACTGTTGAGGATGGGAAATACTATTATGGTAATTGAAAGGTGGGGCCTTGAAGAGGTGACTGGATTGTGAGGACAATGCCTATGGAATGGATTGGTCCATTCACTGAGTGATAAGTTAACAGATTAATAGTGGTCATAGGTGTAGTTCTGATGGCTTTAAAATGAGCCAACTGAGAAGGTCAGCTCTTTCTCTGCTCCACCATTCTGCCACATGAGAACCTTGCATCACTGTTGCCACCAACAAGGCCTTTTTCACCACATGTGTTCCCTAGACTTCAGACTTTCCAGTCTCCAAAACTGTAAGCACTAAATATTGTTTTTTTACACATTACCCAGTTCCATGTATTTTGTTATAAGCAACAGAAACATACTAACACAAGCCTTATGTTTTCTTTCAACATTTTTATAGTTTTAGGTCTTACATATAGGCCATGTATCCATTTTGAGTTAGTTTTGCATATGTTGTTAGGTTAAGGTCCAATTTCATTCTTTTGCACGTCAGTATCCAGTTTCCTAAAGACAGCATACAGTAGGATCATTTTTTCTTTTTTTTTTTTCCATTTACCAATCTCTGTCTTCTGATTGAAAAATTTAATCCATTTACATTTAAAGTTATTACTGATGATAGGCTTACTTCTGTCATTTTCCTATATGTTTTCTATATGACTTCTCTAAATGCTTATAGCTTTTTTGTCCTACATTACTGTCTTTTTTGTGTTTAGTTTATTTTTATAGTAGAACATTTCAGTTCTTTTCTCATTTTTTGGTGTATACATTTTTCAGCTATTTTCTTTGTGGTTACTGAGAAGATTACATTTAACATTGTAAAGTTATAACATTATAATTTGAATTTATAAAAGCTTAATTTCCATAACATACAATAACTCTAGTCCTTTAAGAGCTTTACCCCCACCCCTTTCAGTTGTTGATATTACAATTACATCTTTATACATTGTGTGCTAAAAACATAAAATAGTATATTTTTAATGCATTGTCTCTTAAATTATGCAGAAAACAAAATGACAAAATGTGGAGTTATAAACCAAAGTTAAAATAACATCAATATTATACTAATAATTGTTTTTTAAAAAATGTATTAGTCTAGGGCCGGCCCGGTGGCGCACTGCTACAGTGCGCCGCTTGGGAGCGTGGTGGCGCTCCCGCCGAGGGTTCGGATCCCACATACAGACCAGTTCCCTCTCACTGGCTGAGCGAGGTGCGGGCGCAGCACCGAGGGTTGCGATCCCGTTGCCGGTCCCGGTCCGGTACGGGCGCGACACTGAGGGTTGCGATCCATTGCCGGACACGAAAAAAGACAAAAAAAAAAAAATGTATTAGTCTATTACACCATTTAGAAAACAAACAGTGGAGTCACACACCACTGTTACAATAATACTATACTATATAATTGCCCATGCATTTACTTTTACTGATACCTTTATTTCTTCATACACTTTCAAGTTACCATAGAGGGTTCTTTTATTAACCTGCAGGACTCCCTTTAGCATTTCTTTCAGGACAGGTCTAGTGGTAATAGACTTTTGTTTATCTGGAAATGTCTTCATTTCTCCTTATTGTTGACAGACAGTTTTGCTGAATGTAGGATTCTTGGTTGACAGGGGTGTTTTTTTTTTCTTTCTTTTAGCACTTCGAATATATCAGCCCACTGTCTTCTGGCTTCCAAAGGTTTTTTAAATTTTTTTAAAGATGACTGGTAAGGGGATCTTAACCCTTGATTTGGTGTTGTCAGCACCACACTCTCCCAAGTGAGCCTTGGCAGGCTGGCCCTTCAAAGATTTTTATTAGGAATCTGCTTATAATTCCTTGTATGTGATGAGTCACTTCTCTCTTGCTGTTTTAAACATTCTCTCTTTGTCTTTGTCTTTCGATCATTTGGTTATAATGTGTCTCAGTGTGTGTCTCTTTGAGTTAATCCTACTTGGAGTTTGTTGAGATTTTTGGATGTTTACATTCATGACTTTCATCAAATTTGGAAAGTTTGGGCCGGCCCAGTGGCGCACTAGAGAGTGCGCCGCTTGGGAGCGCGGCGGCGCTTCCGCCGAGGGTTTGGATCCCACATACAGACCGGTTCCCGCTCACTGGCTGAGCGAGGTGCGGGCGCGACGCCGAGGGTTGCGATCCCGTTGCCGGTCCCGGTCCGGTACGGGCATGACACCGAGGGTTGCGATCCGTTGCCGGACACGAAAAAAGACAAAAAGGAAAAAAAAAAAATTTGGAAAGTTTTCAGCCATTATTTTTTCAAATATTCTCTCTGTTCTCTTCCTCTTCTTTTTCTTCTGGAACTCACACAATGTGTATGCTGGTCCATTTGAAGTGTTGCACAGGTCCCTTACACTCTGTTCACTTTTCTTTACCTATTTTTCTTTCTGTTTCTCACACATAATATCTTCCATTGTCCTATCTTTAAGTTCACTGATTCTTTCTTCTGTCTACTCAAATCTGCCTTGAATCCATCTAGTAAATTTTAAAATTTCATTTATTGTACTTTTTACATTCCAGCTCCAGAATTTTGGGGGGTTTCTTTTTAGATTTTCTACCTCTTTATTCATATTTTCATTTTGTTTAACCACTTTTTTCATGTCTTCCTTTAGTTCTTTGAGTATGAAGATAGTTGTTTTAAAGTCTTTCTCTGGTAGGGCTGGCCCGGTGGCGCACTGGAGAGTGCACCGCTTGGGAGCATGGTCTGGAGTTTTCTACTCTGCCATCTTCCTAGAACCCTCTTGACCCTCACTGCTTTAAAAAAAATTTTTTCTGAGCAATGAATTGTACAAGTAAAAACTACTTCTTAAACTCCCTGAAATAATGGTTTGCATTTTGATTAAGGTTTATAAAAGTAATTGACTATTTTTTGAATAATTCACACTTAAAATATTGACTCTCTACAGCATGAGTTGCAAACTGCTACCTGTAAGCCAACTCCTGCTTGATACCTGCTTTTATAAATAAAGTTTATTTTGATTGCAGCCATGCCCATTCATTTATATGTTGTCTATAGTTCTTTTGGTGTTAAAACTGCAGAATTGAGTGCTTGCTGTAGGGACTAAAAGGCCACATAATATAAAATATTCACTATGTTGCCCTTTACAGAAAATGTTTGCCAACCCCTGCTCTACAGAGACATGTAATCGGTAGGGTTTTTCAATCCTTGCCACATGGGTGTTACATATTTTATGTTAGGCTCATACTTAAGGATTTATAGTTTCTAATTGTGATTGTGAATAGAATATTTTTCTTCATTTTCTTTTATTGGGAAAGAATTTTTTATATTGATCTAGTTTCTGGACACCCTGTTGAATTTTCTTATTAATCCTATGGCTTTTAAGTTAGTTCCCTAGGATTTTTAATTAAACAATCAACAAATAACAGCACTTTTCTTCTATTATAAAAATTTCCTTCTCTCATTTTTCTTTCCTTCCTCTTTGTCCTGTCTAGAGCCTGCAGCACAGCATTCGGTACTTGGAATGACACTCATCATTCTTCTTTTGTTCCTGACTTTAATGGGAATGCTTCTTAATGTTTCACTATCTAACAAAACGTTTGCAGCTGATTTTTAATATTTACTCTTTATCAAGTTAAAGATGTTCTTTTTCTTATTAGCCTTTTATGATTTTTTAAAAACATTCTGAATGAGAGTTGAATTTTATTCAGTGGTTTTTATTCTTCCTCTCTTAATATGTGAGTACATAGTTATTTTGGGATTTGAAATCTACTTAGACAAAGTATATTACACACTTAATATACTGGCAGTTTCAGTTTGTTACTATTATGCTAAGAAGTTTTACATATGTATTCACAAAACAGCTTAATGTGTTTCTTTCCTTATACTATTCCCAATTTTCATGTCAAGTTTGTACTTACAGAATGAATTGGGGCCCCTTCTATTTTTTTATAAGTCACGGTATCATTTAAGTAATTTAGAGAAGGGAAATATAGTCAATCATAATCCTACAATTGAGTGTTCCCATAAATCATGGTTTATATAGGAAATGTTATTTCAGTGACACAGTTAATTCCCAAGAACATATTGACATCCACTCTAGTTTAGGATGCATAATAGCTTCATCAGATCCTTGGTTTAAAAGCAAAGAAGATAAAGAGGTGGTTCCTCACTGTGGCAAAAATAGAAAGAGAAGTTGATCCTTGAGGCTGCAGGAAGGAAACTCTCTACTGTGGGTGCTTGTCTTTATAGACAATTGTTTTAAATGAGATTTCATATCTCAGGAATGGCTTAAAATGAAGAGCCAAAAGTAGGCTTGAATATCATGAATGACTATATAACAAGTAAATATAATTGCTTTGAAAATATCCTATCTTACCTTATTAATTTCAGCAGCTTCAGTTTTATGAATAATCCCTTTTAACCTGAAATCCTTTACAATTTCTCTAGCCATATTGAGCATGACATTAATCTCCTCCTTCGTTTTCATAGTGACAGCGATTTCAGGGTGATCATACTCTAAGTAACCTGAAAAATAACAAAATATTTTCAGATAAAATAAGCACATTGTTTTAAATGTTTTACATGGACAATAGCTAGTATTTCTGCTCTAGACCCATGCAGTATAACTCTCAACACATGCAAATGTATCTGTCCCTGATGGGGCCACTGCAATCAGTCATTATTCATTAGTTGTGCCAGAATTCTGCCTGCCATATTATTGGTCATCCCCAGTCCAAGGATTAACAGTTATAATGATCCACCTGCACTGGATGCTGGGAGGACACTCGGGCTCTAGGTCTGGAGTTGTGACTCACTTTCCTATTCAGTTTGAATTAGGATTTTTGACTACAGACTGTGTGCTTAGAAATGGCTTCTGAGTAAGTGCTCTCACTCTTCCTGGGTCACTGTCCATTTGTCCTGCCAGTGCATCTAGATGACTCATCCATCTATGCTCTTTTGTCTGTCTCATCTGGATTCCTGGGTGCCCATGAAAACTTCATCCACTTAGATTCTATACTAGGGCTCTTCTTTGGTCATGACCTCTTATCTGGCTTGGTAACTATTTGCCATAAAAGATCTCTCAAGCCTGACCTTACTCCCAGGTTTGCTGTGTCTTTTTGCTGCCCACTATCTGGTACAAAACCTCTTTTTCCTCCTCACACATGAATGCTATATTGTGTGTATGTGTGAGGGGGTGTGTGTTCCACTTCCAGGATTTGTTCTGCACTGGGAGCATGACCTGGCATGACTCAGAGAATTGGCTGTTGCCATGTTTGGGCACTGAGCCTTCCAGGAGACCTAACAGAGATCTGGAAGACTCTGTTCTGATTTTATCTCATTTTAAGGTCTAATTCCTTAGATGGCAGCTCTGTGGCAAGTGGAGGGAAAAAGTAATTTTATACCTTGTGTCACCATGTATTTCTGGTTTGGAAGACAATAGGTACATGTATTTCTGGTTTGGAAGACAATAGAATATATAAGACTAAAATGACATGCATAATCATGACATGCTAATGTGGATTCTTTAAACATTATTTAAAAGGCCTTCATTGTTGTATAAGGAGGAGAAAACAAGTGTGGAGAGGTAATATTACACTAACCCCATCTAAACTAGAAAATACGATTACGTTGATTGTTAAAGTTATTTACTTTATTATTATTAGTGAGTAGCTTTCCTCAAAGATCAGCTTAGTTATTGATGGAGTTTGGATGTGTTGTCCCCTCCAAAACTCATGTGGAAATTTAATCTCCAATGTGGCAGTGTTGGAAACTGATTCAGTTATGGGGGCGGATCCCTCATGAATGGATTAATGCTCTCCCTGGGGAGGGGGGAGTAATGAGTGAGTTCTCGCTCTATTAGTTCCCGCGAGAGCTCGTTGCTTAAAAAGACCCTGGCACCTTCTCTCTCTCTCTTGCTTCCTCTCCCCATGTGATCTGCTTGTACCCACCGGCTGCCTGCCACATTCTGCCCTGAGTAGAAGCAGCCTGAAGCCCACACCAGATGCAGCTGTCTCAGAATCGTAAGCCAAATAAACCTCTTTCCTTTATAAATTACCCAGTCTCAGGTATTTCTGTTATAGAACACAAAATGGACTAAAACAGTTATAAAAACCATTGCCTTTCTGTAGTGATGATAAGAGACGGTCATGCTGAATATTGAGGAGGAGAGGTACTCACCTAGCTCTTTCATAGCATGTTCCATATTCCTTACTACCCGCTTTAATAATACCTACGGAACAAAATAAACATTATCCGCATTGGAAAAATGAACTGTTATAAAATGTCTTTACATTTGCAACTAATGGATTGTTAACCTAAATTACTAACTTTAAAAAAATATATGATGGAGAGTTTTTCAAAGACTAGAATTGAATTTTGTGCTACGAAAGGTTTCCTTGCTTCAGAAAGACTGGTGGAGAAGATGAGAAGTGGCATTACCTTGGCGGCCGATTTTGAGAAGCCTGAAGGTGGGTCATATATTTCTCCTTAAGGTAATTTGCTTTAGGATACTATTGATCCTGAAAAACACAGGCATGGTAGGTACATTCCTGCTCAGCTTTATGAGATCCTCCAAATTTGGGATGTGGGGATGGCTTTCAACCTTAAGTGAGTGGAAGCTTTGGCCAAGATGTGTGACAGCAGAAATGAGGGCTAAAACTGGATAATATTTTAGAGATGTGAGTCCTTTTGTATTTTCTTCTATGTACCCTCAAGTTCCAGCACTAAACATCAGTGGGTAGAAAATGTAATGAAACTCAGGAAAATAGTTTTAAAGTTGCAGGTGGTGAAAAGAGTAAAAACACTACTTTTTGTGTTCTACCACATATTAAATGTTCAGTTTTCTCAACTACAAAGCATTGGGCATATAAAATATAGCACTCAAATGTTCTGAATTGCCTTGAAAGGTAAATATTGAATTGCACATAGCCAAAGAACTTGTGGGAACATATCAGTGTTAATCTGCTCTGATCTAGAAAATAAAAAATAAAATCTAGAATTTAGGCCCTGGAACTGTTCTAGCCCCTTACTAGCTCTTTAACTTTGCATCTTTTTTTGTGTGTGTGGCAGCTGGCTGGTACAGGGATCCGAACCCTTGACCTTGGTGTTACCAGCACCATGCTCTCCCAAGTGAGCTAACAGGCCAGCCCTTAGCTATGTAAATTTGGGCACAATCATTTAACCTCTCTTGGCCTTGTTTTTCTCATCTGCATAATGAGGGAATCAGACTAGGTTTCCCTCTAGATGAATTATTGTTTACTTCTTTCCATTTGCCAAATCACTCAGTTTTATTTCCTTTACTATTTGCTGTGTGAAGACAAGGATAAACAGAGATGGAAGAAACTGCCAGACAATCTGAGGAAGCTCTATTTGCTTGACACTGCTGTCACTTCTCACCTTCTAATATTTCCTATTTAATGCACATGTAGCCTGACAGATCCTGGAGATTGAATTGGGAGGAAGCTCACCCTCGCACATGGGCTTCATGACAGCCACCACAGGGATAGTAAGGTGCCTTCCAAGAGCTTTGTAAATTGGTAATATGGCACAGACTTTTCAGTAAGGAGGCATTTGTGCAATTTAAATGTAGACTAGTTTAAGATTTTGCAGAAATTAACTGGCAAACCAGGAGTCAAAGACGTCATCTAAATATATAGACAGGACATTATGGATGGACGCAACTGAGAGGTGGGAGACATGAACACTTTTCTTAATATTTAAGGCTTTCTTACCTGTTTAACTTGTTCAGTACTCGCAATCTGATCAATTATAGTCATTATGTCTGCTTCACCTTGTACATATCCTTTCAGGATAGCATATGTAAAGGACAGCTGATGACTCAGTTTTTGATCTATTATTTGCAGCAACTTTGGTGTTATGAGCTGGAAAAAACAGGACTACCATATAATATAAAATGTACAAAATTTATTTGATTATACGTTGATTAGCTTAACCAAAAAAGATAATAGTAATAAATTAAGTGCCCTCAAAGGTAACTACAGTAACCTGTCAAGGTTCTTAGTTATTTTCTTCATGGTATCTTTATAACTTCATGACTGTAGTTCTTTCCCTGTAACTAATCATGTTGGGCACCTATGCAAAGTTTATAACTTTATTCTTTTCTTATTTCCCTTGTAGAGAATTGGATGCTATTCCCAACTGGTTTAAATTCTTGGAAAACAATGTGATTAATCTTCTGTGCTTAGGTCATAAAATAACTGTAATGTACTACCATTTTTTAATGCATATAAGCATATATTCAGATACAGATATGCTCACTCCCTCTTTCTCTATGTCTTACTTATGTGCCTTCTGACAGTGAGTTTCACTTCATCGAAATAATCATACAGAAAATGAATAACTATCCATCATACTTGTGATGGAAACATATATTAAACAATCAAAGGTCATTTTTGATAGCATGATTCTATAATACTATGAAGTTATATAACGTGGAATATGGCTTTTTTGTTCTTGATTTGCATGAATGTATGCTGTTTTCTTTGTCCCCCTTACAAATGGTTTGCATGGTTTGTTTTGCTGATTTCCATCTTTCATTCCCGAGGTATCTATAAAAATAAACATTACTTCAGGAATAACTTGTAATTACTTTACTAAGGAACTTTCATATGCTCTTTGTTCAAAGGAAGAGCTGTAATGAGTATTTCTATACTTGCATGTGCTAAACAAATTTCTAATATAATTTGGATATTTGTAATTAAAATATTATAAAACATAACTTGTCAATAGGAGCTAAAATTTAAAACATAAACATTGGCCCAACAGAAAGTGGTAGCCATAAAACTAGCAAACTGATTTTAGTTTTCATTTCATGAAAACAGGAAGAATTTGAAATTGCGTATTTACTTGTTCTTTACCTTCAAAATGCACAGTATACGAAGAAGTCGGACAACTTTCATAAAGACCACTGTTTCAATAAAATCAAAACTATGATAAATGGAGTTTGTCTGAATAAGTATTACATCTATGATGCCAATTAATGTAATTGCTAACTCAAATAGGTTCCATGTATTTGAAAAATAATCCTTCCTCATTGCTGCTATCTGTTGATTTTAAAAGAAGTTACATTATCAAGTTTGTTTTTGCTATAATACACTACATCATTTCCACAATAACTTAAATATCACCAGTTAGGTTTTTCTCTGATCTACCTTAAGACTCTGCATGTCTGAAATATCACCAGGAAACCAAAATCAAACAAACAGACAGAAAAAAAGTTAATCAACTTTATCCTGTAGTAAAAGAAGACTAATAGGACTACTGATCCAGAACTGGGTGTAAAACACAGATATAGATGAAAAGAAACAGATTTATATAATGATACTGGTAAAAAGTAGCTGCAGTGGAAAGGCAGACAAAAACACAGTGTGCCAGGGTCCTTTCATTTAAAACACACAGCCTTAAATACCACAATAATCCTGAGGGGTACAGTTTATTTTATAGTATTACATGATTGATATAAAAATGGTGACTCTGGGTAATCAAGAAAAAATTAGATTATGTTTGTTGTTTTGCACATGGGCAAGGTTTTCATTACAGTACTTCAAAATATAAAGATTTATTTATAAAAAAACATTATGTTTTATTTATGAAATTCACTTGTGATTTCATTCTGTGATGATGCAGGATGAAAGTCATTTTTAATTTCTCAAAAATTTAAGTGAAAGTAAGTATTTTGTCAGAATTACCTCGATGATTACACCAACACTTTTCTCTATATCAGTAAGTATAGTTGTTTGAAGAGCTAATATAAGGCTTCATCAACACATGCACATTAAAAAAATACATTTAACAAGCTATTTATGTATGTTTCACTCCGTAATCATATATTCCTACAGAATAGCTTATTAGGATGCTTTTAAACAGGTAAAGTAATATAACAATCTTTTCAATCAGATAGTTCCAAGTTGAGAAATTGCTTTTGCTTTTTTTTTTTTTTAAGCGCATTACTTATCTTTTTCTATTTTCATATCTAGAGAGCCAGTGAGGACAACTAGAGTATTTGTTGATTCAGACACATTCTTTTAGAATCCCTAAAAAGTGTGACTTTTTAGAAGCAACCCAAAAGGAAATAGGAAAATTTGAAGCATCTACAAATCACTTAGCATTAGACCTAAGACTAGATGTAAGATCTAGTTCCTTCTTAGACACATTTCCTTTCCCTTATGTTGGCTTCATTTTTAAAATTTGAATTCTGGTTAATAACTTAATCTGAATTCTGGAAACATGAATTTCATTGCCTTGAATCCACAATTTCTGACAGTTCCTTCCAGCACCAGCTGAATTCCAACTGAAGATAATTGAGGTATGTTTCTAGTTGGATATGAGATTTCTAGTAGAATATGAATATTTTGGAAGGAACTTATTTTATGTTAAAGTGAAATACATGTGAACATTTTAAATCTTATAAATATGTTCCCATATTTTATCTCACTTAACTATTATCTAATAATTGATCTGCTGAATTTATAATGTTGAAACAAGTTATTTTTAAATATTTCAGAATTATGACCAGCTATGGTGGTTTAATACCATAACATTTTTCTTCTTAAAAACAATTATTTAGGGCCTAGCCCGTGGCACACTCGGGAGAGTGCAGCGCTGGGAGCGCAGCAGCGCTTCCGCCGTGGGTTCGGATCCTATATAGGGATGACTGGTGCACTCACAGCGCTCACTGGCTGAGCGCGGTGCAGCTGGTCTCAAAAAGGACAAAAAATAATAATAATAATAGTAATTATTTAAATTTAGCCATGCTAAATTAAAATATGTACTCATACTAGTAAGTGATCATATTAATTTAAAATAAAAGGGCTGAAAGATTGAAGCATCTATTCCAAGGAAGAAAATATTCAAAGTACGTACTATTTTATGATAGTTCATTCAATCAGTTTTCTTTATTTCAAAAAAGTATTTATTGAATACCACGTATAGCTAAGAGAGTGGGAGGTTTCAGAGACGATTATGGATTCCAGCTTGGACAATTGGGTTTCCAGTGGAATTCTGAAGGGAGAAGGTTTAGAGGGGATACTCTTTTTTTTTTTTTTTTTAATATGCTGTTTCAGATGTTTGTAGAGTATTTTGTTGGAGAGATCCAGTCAGCAGTGTCTATATGATCTGAGGCTCTGGATAAAATTTGAGCTGGAAACATGAATTTGGGAGTCATTAGACTATGAATGGTAGTTGATGCCAGAGAAATGGATGAGATAGCATGGCCTATGAAACCTTTCATTATTTCATTCATGTCTATATCTCTTGCCATATCCTCCATACTAGTCTAACATCTCTACAATCCCCATCCTGCCCAAGCCATACCTGAGCTTTAGTCATTGGGAATATGATGTTCCTTGCATGTATCACAGAGTTGCCTCTAAGTTTTCCCTTGTTCTTATTGCCCGTCATGCTGTGTACTCATATACTCATTCTCTTCTTTGATTCCAATACATTACTAAAAATTAAACTCAAGCATCTCCTTCCCTCGAAAGCCTTCCTTCTCTGACCCTACTATTCTGTGCTAGGAACTCTGTATGTTGGTTCCCATAGTACCCTGTGTATTCTTCTATTACACTATTTAAGGCACTGATTTGTAATTTTGAATTACTTGTCTTCTCTTACCAGCCTAATCCTCCTACTCCCATCTTACTTTGATTCTGAGAAAGTGTAGGAGACAGACATATTTATGAGCCAGGGAAAGCATATGCTCCATTATAAATTAAGAAACTCCCGTATTTGTCTAGAAGCAGCCTTTCATGTGTTGAGTGATAAAGAGCCATTTCCCTCGAGCCCGCTCACATTCGGCCAGGCTGAGGAAATTTAATGTCTGAATCTGGGAAGCAAAGGACCAGGTCCTGGTCCTGTGTGGTCCTGGCCTAGTCACCATTTAGCCTCTGTAGATGTCCTATTTTCCTCTTATTGACACAGAGTGTTGGTTGGATTATTCTGCTGGGAACTTGAAAGAACTGGAATAAAGAGTAAGACTTTGTCCTTATACCAAGTATTCAGAAATGTAAAGAGTTATCTCGAGGTCCAGCTTCATTTTTCTGCATATGGATGTCCAATTTTCCCAGCACCATTTATTGAAGAGGCTGTCTTTTCCCCAATATATGTTCTTGCTGCCTTTGTCAAAGATCAAGTTGGCTGTAAGTATGTAGGTTGATTTCTGTGTTTTCTATTCTGTTCCATTGATCTGAGTGTCTGTTTTTATGCCAGTACCATGCTGTTTTGGTTATAATAGCTTTGTAATATAATTTGAAGTCAGGTAGTGTTATGCCTCTGGCTTTATTTCTTTATTTCTTTATTTATTTTTTGCTTAGGATTCCTTTGGCTATTCGGGGTCTTTTGTACCTCTCACTGTATACCAAAATCAACTCAAAATGGAATAAAGACTTAAATATAAGACCTGAAAGCATAAAATTACTAAAGGAAAATATAGGAGAAACACTCCAGGTAATAGGACTGGGCAAAGACTTTGTGAATAAGACCCCAAAAGCACAAGCAACAAAAGAAAAACTAAATAAATGGGATTATATCAAGCTTAAAGGCTTCTGCACAGCAAAGGAAACAATCAACAGAGCAGAAAGACAACATACTAAATGGGAGAAAATATTTGCAAGCTATACATCCTACAAGGGATTAATATCCAGAATATACAAAGAACTCAAAAAACTATTCAGTAAAAAACACAACAAATAATCCAATAAAAATATGGGCAAAGGAGATGAATAGACACTTTTCAAAGGAAGACATACAAATGGCCAACAGGTACATGAAAAAATGCTTAGCATCACTAGTCATCAGAGAAATGCAAATCAAAACCACATTGAGATATTATCTCACCCCAGTTACACTGGCCACTATTAAAAAGACTGAGGATAACAAATGCTGGCAAGGATGTGGGGAAAGCAGAAGGATGTGGAGAAAGCAGAAATCTTCTACACTGCTGGAAGGAGAGAATACACCTCTAGTTACTAGAGGTGGGAAAGGGGGGTAGGGAGTAATTGGGTAAGGGACACGAAAAGCAATTGTGAATTCTGTAATGATGGACATGCTAATAATATTGATTTGATCATCACATACTGTACACAAGTACTGATATGGTTTATCAGCTTAATTTTAGGGTACTCTTCATCCCTTACCCTCATGCTGTTACTAACCGTAATCCTGATTGCTTTATTTCCTCTTAATTCTATGAAAACTCCAATAGTCTTTCCAACTAGCTTGGAATTTATTACATACAATCTGATTAAATTTGAATCTACTTTTTCTGAGACTATGGCTTTGCAGTAGCATTTAAATTTTCCAGTAAAGATTTTTTTTTTTTTGGTGGCTGACTAGTAAGGGGATCCAAACCCTTAATCTTGGTGGTGTAACACCATGCTCTAACTAACTGTGCTAACCAGCCAGCCCAGTAAAGATTTGAGATTCATTTATTTTGTCCAAATATTGGATACTATTTCTCTGTTTAAAATTTCTGGGTAAAAGTATTTCATGTTACAACTTGTTCATTCATAGAACACAATACTATCATCAGTTTATGGGCATACATTTCTATTATTTAACAGTTACCTTTATACTGGATTTTAAAAATCAAACTGTGAAATATTTTTCACGTGCAAGAGAATATCTGTTAAGCTATCTATCCATCTGTTTATCTGTCTTGTATAAAAATAATAAAATGAACATCCACATACTCAACAGCCTGCTAAATCTAACATTGCCAATACCTCTTAAGCTCACTGTGTCTCTTTGACTCACACCACTTTATAATTTATTTTCACAAATGCGAAATTAGTGCTTATAGTATGCATTTTGTATTGAGTCACCCTAAAAATCATCTTTAAAAAATAAAGTCTATTTGTTTTGAAAAGTGAGGGAGAATTTTTATATACTCCTTAAAAAAACTGTCCATAGCTAGTGTTGAAAAATGAGGTTAGGATATCTCCCTTTTAGACTTATAACACATTCATACACACACAAATTTTAACTTACCTTAAATAGGGCCTCTAGAATATAAAGCATGAGAAAAACATAGTTAGAATGTATTAATTCCTGATCATAGATGTCATTTAATCGGGGTATCCAAGAGATTAGAATAGGAAAGATATTCATCAGTATCACAAGGTATCCAACATATTCAAATTCATCAGTAAATACTATTTTATGGAATACACGAAGAAAGCCATGTCTGTAAAAAAAAATTTTTTTTTATCTGATAACTGGATTGCATCAAATGATTTTCTTCATATACTCAGTTCTGTTCTCATTATCAATAGCTACAGAGCCCTGCTTAATTCTGGGGATCAGCCATCACTAGCTAACACTTTCTGGCATCCTGCTTCGGATATGGTTCTTTTAATTTCCTCCTCTGCTAAATGTCTTGGATCTAGTTTCTCTTTCTTTCTCTCCTTACTCACACAGAGCCCTGCTTAATTCTGGGGATCAGCCATCACTAGCTAACACTTTCTGGCATCCTGCTCCGGATATGGTTCTTTTAATTTCCTCCTCTGCTAAATGTCTTGGATCTAGTTTCTCTTTCTTTCTCTCCTTACTCACCTCTCATTCACTTTTTCTTTTACTTTTTATGTAAATACTTTTGGTATAACAGGGATATTTCAAATTGGAAATATTTAAAAAATAAAATGAGGAGAATCCCTTCCATCTTCCAGTAATTCCACTTCTCAGAGATGACTATTAACAGTTTGAATATTGTTACAATCTTTTTATGTTTATATAATCATTTTTATAAGCATAAAAGAAATTATATCATACATATTTTTCTTTATGCTGCTCCCCTTCCCCCTGCCCCACCCCCACCCTGGCCTTTAACAAAGTTTCATGAGCATCTTCCCTTGTCAAAGCATAAAACTGGAAACAAAGCCCAGGATGTGTGGTAGTGGAACAGTAGGTATCCAAATTTTATCAAACAATATAAATTAATGTACATGCTTTGAATAATAGTTTCCATAAAAAGTATGCTAGAGAGTAAAACTGTAGATGGGAGAATTTGCTTTTTATATTTTTAGTTCGATTTTAAATTATTTAAGTAGTTTGATAATGCATTATTATTGTTAAAACTCAAATGATATGATAAATTGGGTAAGTACTATATCGTTTTCCTATTCTTGGGGGTAGATCTGTACTATAGGCCAGAAGATTTTACAGTTTTGGGTCCTATTTGAGAAAAAGATGAAATTACGAGTACAGATATTATGAATACAGAAATGGTCATGTGATCACATGGCTAGGACCCTTCAAGACCTCAGGCAGTGCCATGTAGTGAGAAGCTGTGAGGTGTGAGTCTTGTTGACTTCATGGTGGCACTGCCTCTGCCCTTCTCAGTTCTGCTTTTCTTATCCCTTCCAGGAGAAAAGCCATATCTGGCACAGCACTACACCTGAGGTTACCTTTTGCCCATGATTGCCTATAATCTGTCTTTTTTTATGCCAGATAGGTGAATGGAAGAGAATATAATGGGGACTACTCACAATTTCTTTAAGTCTTTTGTGTTTGTGTTAATTTCTTAATTCTTCCCGGAATGCCAAGTAGCTTCTTATTTATTATTTTGGTTATAGGTTCCACTTGGCCATTCCTAGCATGATGGTTCTTATCCTATAGGTTAATGAATCAATGTCAGTGTTCAGCTAGATATTAAATATATTTATCCAAATTATACCCTCAGGAACTCAGAGAAATAACCACACAGTGGACCTGCTGTACCCTGATTGAGACAAACTGGCCAGAAACTCCATATATCATTTAGTCTAAAGGCCCCCATCTAACCAGAGGATCGTGATAGCATTTCAGGCCTCTAGATCAGTATCAGCTTCTTAAATGCCATATCCAAAAGTTATCAGAAAGTGTGGATATTCTATTTTCCCAAAAACACAGTAATTCTGGTAAAATGGCTAAAGACTCATTTGAAAAAAGATTGAGGGAACATTTATCCTCTATCCTGTGGTGGTGTAGCATGTCTTTTCTCCAGGGCTCTGGTTCTGAAAACCAACTTAGACATACAGAAAAGGGGTGAAGGATTGTGATTTTCCTTTGCAGTAGCTCATCTCATCCTTGTGTCACTAGCTTTCTCTTTAGCAAAGGAACCTCTAGTTAACTGTTCATCTGCACTGCTCTTTGACACACATTGTTTGTTAGCCATCCCCAGCTCAAGGCACACTGACAGCCACTCCGAGTTTGCTGACCGTAAAATAACACACACCCGCCTTGCCTCTGACGTTTAAGTGCTGTCATCTGTCTTCTGCCATTCCTGAATCCCATCCATCCTTATGATAACTACAGAAATCAATTCCTTGGCACCCTCTCTTATTGCAACCATGGTATGCAGAGGGCTTCTGCCAAGGAGTTTCTCAGAGAGCTTTACTGTTGCCTTGGTGAATACAAATGTCTCTCGGGCCTTCCTAGCGAACAAGGTCATGTGGTCTTTATTCTCATAATCTAGCCAGAAATTCCCATTTTTTATCATCTATGCTTCACTTACTGTAGATTATTGGTCTGCTCAAGCTTCAATCCTAGGAGTATAGTAGTACCGGCTCCACGTGTCCTTGACAGAGTGCTGAGCCCTGAGGCATCACGGGTAAGACCACCCATGCCAATACATAGTCCCCAATCTGGCCTTAAGTTGCAGCCTTCTGCTCCAATACCCTCAACATCATTCCCTCATATGTTCTACCAGTATTAGCTGGTAATAGTCAGGTCCTGTAATTCCTGCAGTAGATAATCTGCAGCTGCCCAAGGCAGGCACTATTATTTTCCCCTTTAGCTGTACTGAGATACGACTGGGTAATTTCCCTGGAAGCAATGAAAGATGATGAAGGCTAATCTTAAAAGAAGGACACGCTTCACCTTGTGATGTCTTTGGAGCATCTGTAAGTGGTAGGAGGATACTCTCCTCTAGTAGGGGGGAGGGGCTGCCTCTGCCAGGCAAGAGTGTTCATGAGAATCAGGGGGTTCAAGATTCTCAGGTTTGTCCACAGTATGTTACCATTTCAGGTCTTGGTGTCCCAATCTTTTTCTATCTGAGCCCTGACATTGAGACAGAAGCCCTGTCAATGCTATGCATTTATTTTCCTTTGCAAAGCTCTAGCTGCTTCCCCCCAAATTAGATATATTTTTATTTTTCAATTTTGAATAATTTAAGTTGAATTTTTAATTTCAATTATTATATATATATTGTTCTTTAGTATCTTTTGGTGGTTGGACTTGCCATGTTTGTAATTCCATCATTTACTAATTTCAACATTTTGGTAATGTTATAGTCTGTATTGATAATTCTAATAACTGAAGTCTTAGAAATATAAATCTGTTGTTATTTCTGCTGATTCTCTTTCATGATTATTTGTTTCACTGTGTGTTTGTTGATCTTTGATAGTGGCTTCATCCATTGGCTAGGGGACTCAATCTTGCATGAAATGCTATTTGGCACTTAGTGATAAATGCTAACATTTAAGTGCTTATCCAGTGCTAGTCCCTGGACTAAGTGCTTCTACACACATTGTTTATGTAATCTTTGTAATAATCCCATGAGGTAGGCAGAGAAGAACCCAATTAGCATATTTTAGTACCCACTATGTGTATGTTACTTTACCAGATGCTTTACATATATCAATTTGTCTCCAAAATATGATGTTGGTATTACTATGCCCATTTTTCAGATGAGGAAACTGAGGCCTGTGAAGCTTATTCAGCTAAAAAATTATGGAGCCTGTGATTCTAAACCATGTCATCTATATCAATTTGTCTCCAAAATATGATGTTGGTATTACTATGCCCATTTTTCAGATGAGGAAATTGAGGCCTGTGAAGCTTATTCAGCTAAAAAATTATGGAGCCTGTGATTCTAAACCATGTCATCCGACTCCTGAATCTGTTTTCCTATATACTTTGAAATGATGCTATTTAAAAGATAATCTAAAGGATATGTGGACTGTCAATATTAGTTTTTTCAATCTCCCTTTCTTTAAGTTACATCAAGATTAAATAATTACTCAGAAAAATTTCTGATAAATCAGTTAGTGAAGGCTTTTAAAGAATTATAATAAAAGTATCCTTTTGATATTTGAGTGTGGTGGATTAAAGATGGCCACAAATTCTTCCATACTCCCATTGAGAAGAGGAATCTATATATTCCTTCTCCTTGAATCTAAGAAAAGAAATAAAATGCATCCCAATTGCAAAGAAAGATGATCCTACTTACAAAAAATCCTAGAAAACCCATCAAAACCCAACTAAAACTAATAAATAAAATCGGCAAAGTTTCAGGATACAAGATGCTATGTTGTTATTTCAAAACACTAGGAATGAGCAATCCAAAAATAAAATTAAGAAAACAATTCTATTTAAAATATCATCAAAAAGAGCAAGTATTTAGGATTAACTTTAATGAAAGACTTGCATGCTGAAAACTTGCATACAAAACGTTACTGAAAGAAATTAAAGATCTAATAAATGGAAAGACATTTCACATTGATTGATCCAGAANAATCTTCTACACTGCTGGAAGGAGAGAATACACCTCTAGTTACTAGAGGTGGGAAAGGGGGATAGGGAGTAATTGGGTAAGGGACACGAAAAGCAATTGTGAATTCTGTAATGATGGACATGCTAATAATATTGATTTGATCATCACATACTGCACACAAGTACTGATAGTCAATTCTGTACCCCATAAATATGTATAAATAAAAACAATAAAAATAAAGTCCTTGTGTAATAGAGAAAGAAAAAAGAAAAAGAGTCCCCTAAAATCAATTAACATGCACTTTAATGGAAAGAGCACTGAGCTGGGATTCAGTGGACCTTGGCTCTGGTTTTGATTTTCTTTGACAAGTTGTAAGCTGTTGACCAAGCTACTGAATTTTCCTCAACCTCAGTTTTCTCCACCATGAAATGGAAGGTTTGGCCTAAATGACAGATGAAGATCACTCTAGATCTAACAGTAGATCCCATTACTCTTTGAACTTTGCCAAGGTTGAGTTGCTACCATAGCCATAGTGGGCTTCATACAATCAGGCCCACTTAAGACACCAGAACTGCTGCAGAGATATCACTACAATGTATAGCTGAGAGGATACTCACAACTGCGGAATCCTGTTCTTGTCTTTACCTCCTACTCAAGATTCATCCTCATTATCCATTTGCCACTTTTCATTCACTTATTTCTTTTACCCTCTT